ATCTCATAAAAACATTTACAATTTTATTTAGTGCCATCGAATAAAATATATTTCTACATATATATTTAATCGGCTATTTATACGCAAACGAGACANATTTATATTTCTTCTATTTAATCATTACTGTTAACAAAAATGTAAATCCGTCTATCGATTACGTCTGAGTGTATCTCTCGTGTGAAAGTACATTTTATATATCGCGCGGAGAATCGATCGATGAGTAATTAAAACTATATTGATTACTTGTTGAAAAAGCGAGTCGCGATATGTCAAGAAAATATTATTGTTTGTGTATCGACTCGCGTTCAAATGTACCTAACCATATAACGATTCCCGTAGATTGTTCGCGCTCGCGCGTTCAAAACACAATGTACGAAATTTATATTAGTTCGTAATTTAAAACATGTAAGAGACAAAAAGCAAGAAAAACAGAGTTACGACACACAAGACATACTTGCATGTCATAATAAACAAACTTACAAATAACTAATTTCCAAGAAACAAGTGATAAGAACAAGTGAGAGAAAGAAAGAGAGAGAGAGTAAATATCAGCGTTTCTATACAAAGATGACAAAAATACAAGAAAAAGAAACATATAATGTTTTCGAAAACTCGTAATTAAGACAATGTTATTTCAATATTATCAGAGTTTCGCGATTACACGTGCAAAATCAGAAGCATCGAGGAAAAAGAGAAGCAGCGAGGAATGATGCAGAAAAAAGAGAAGGAAAAAAATAAGAAAACAAATAAATAAAAAAATTTTTTTAAATAATAAAGACAGCGTTAGCTTCACTCACATTCACTCACATGATGTCGCTCTTCTTTTCGGAAGGAGCTTTGCAATATAGCTGAAGTTGTTCTAACGTGCAAGAGCGGTGACAGCACTCTTCGACGAGTCCCGGCCCAGGTGGAGAATAACTCTGTTGGTTGTCGCGGTGAGAAAACGGCTCGTTGTAACCATGTTCGCGGCACAGTACTGCCAAAACGTTGCTGAGATTTGAGGAGCAATATTGTGACCTTCTGATTCTCCTGAGACCCTTTGCCGAGATTTCAACGGGCGGAATATAAGCGGCGAAGGCCATGTCTAGAAGAACGAGCGTCAGCAGAAGAATCGTTGTTTTCATTATGGTACATACACCGCGAGTCATCTTGATTTATTTTTTTTTTTTCAATATTTCGACTTGGTTCCTCAGATGATTGAAGATGAAAATTCCAAAATGATGCCTTCTACCGCGAGATTTTTGATAATTTTATAAATTTATTAAAAAAGTAATTGATTGTCTTCTACTTGGTCAATCAAGTCGTCGTATGAATAGATATGTTGATCTTCAAAGAGGAAACTACCGCTGGCAGCTAGTTCGTGTCACTGTTACTGAGCAGCATTGCCACGCGGTTTTGTTCCAGATTTCAGGGACCAGGGGGAGACGAAGGAGGGAGAAACAGTGGTAGGAGAAAGAACGGGGATCGAGGAGAAATAGAAGTTCGAGTAGACGCTCTCGCCGACTCTTGAGACCGGCGACACACGAGAGAAGAGGTCGTTAGTGGCCAGACGTGCCGCCGATTGATGGCACGAATTCGTTCTTCTCTTCTCAAAGAGGAAACCTCCCGAATATCTCTCTCTTTCTACCCGAAACACAGACGATCCGAACAGGACGAAGCCCGACGACCGCGACGAAAAATGAAATAAAAGACGACGATTCACTTCTGCTTCGGAAATTCGCGCTCACTTAGTCGTGCGAGACTACTCTCGAAGTATCCCCCGAGAAGTATAATGCGTTCTTTTGTTGGTCGAACTTTGCACACACACCCCCTCTTTTTGTGTCAGCGAACTCGACTGACCCGCGTCGTCTAGCACGCGAAAGAAGCAGACCCGTTCTTCTTCTTCTTTCCATCGTATTCTTTTGCCGTCTTGATTGCCGCGGTGTGCTTCAAACGTTTGTATATTCACATACGTGATGAGAAAAAGACGAACAAAGCGTTCTCTTTTATATATTTATAAAAGCTCGTCTCTCAGATATTTCTCTCCCTTCTCGTCGCGAAGTCCCTTCCGCGAAAATTGAATCTTCGACGGCTAATTCGCATTGTATGGCAGCGGCGCGAATTGAAGAAACTCGAACGAGAGCGAAAAGTATTACGTGCCTGTTATTGGACATCGCGAATTATTCTGAACCCCGTTGCTGCTCTTTTCTTCACCTGGCGTATAATAATTTGAATTAAAAAAAATTAAAAGTATTTATTTAATATTTTGCTTGTAATCTAATTGATTGTTATAATCTCTTGATTAGTCATTTTTCTTTGTGTTTCAGAAAATTGCGGAAAGAAAAGTCGATAAAATCAGTGATCTATCGATTTACTTCGTAGCAAAATGCAGTCTGAAAAATAGAAAACTATAGAAACATACAAAAAAATAAATAAATAAATAAATAATAAATCACGTTTCGCAAATATATATTGTAACTGTCATTCACAACGTCGTATCGATCACGCGCAGAAGATATCGACGCGTCATGGCACAAGACGCTGGTTTTTAGAAAGTGAAATGTTTTGTTGCTACACGGAATGTTTGTCATCAATGAGAAGGAAACTGTCATTTATCTTTAAATAATAACTTATCTCGAGAACTAATGGGGGAGCCGGCCGATTGACCACCCGGTGACGATTAGCGCGCAAAACTGCGAAAAAATCGTGACATAAGTGATCCCCGCGCGGCGATCGCCGCCAATACAAAGAGTGGTCTATTATCATTGACACGTGCTCATTAATCATAAATTGTCTGTTTTTCGTCTCTCAAGCCCGACATATATACATATATATATGTATATCGGGTCGCACTTTTTCACAGATAGAAAGACGCTTCTCGCGACCTCGTATCCTGGTTTCTTTCCGATCTTGCGGCAATTTCGATATCGCGCGTTGCGCGAGTATAATCTGAAATCTATTCATAGACCCAACCGGCATCTTAATGTAATAAACATTCATTCAGAATTAAACCTAACGGATTTTTTATTTTATAAACACATAAGACATTTATAATACACAGTTTCTCTCTGCAAAATCTTCGCGTAAAAATATGTCGCCCATTCTCCGAACGCGATTTGAAATAGAAATACCGCAGAAATTTATGCAGAATAACCGATGTTACAACTGTTTGGCACGAATCTATACATAGCTGTTCAATATGCTTGACCGAAACGTTGTTCATAATATCGGTACAATGACTGACATTGACGGAAATTACGAATCAATTTTTTGAGCCAACATGTTCACCTGACTGTAAAATTCCAATATACGAAGTATAAGTAAACGTAAATGTGATCCCACAGATGTAATGTAAATAAACATTTTGAAACGACACGCGATCGAAGCTTCGAACAAAAAAAAATGCGATAATTGAAGTCACCGCTCTGGTGATGTCAACGACTCGAAAAAGAGCCAAGCCGTCAACACGATGACTTCCCGACAATCACAACCGGTTGGTGTGTCATCGAATACGACAATTTCCAGGTGGAAGAAACGCGCGCCATATGTGCGGTGATATACATGCGCGGCGCTCTATTTATAGAAGCAATCGCAAGTATCTGTTCAGCTTGGATTACATATAAGCGAAATCCGGGATATACGCTTTTATATCCGTATATCGAGTGTCAAACAGGTATAAGTAAAGGCACATTGCACGTCGATGATCGTGAGTGTATCAAGCGCGCGATAAAATCGAACGGGAATAAGAGAGAAAAAGAAGAAAAAGAAACACGCATGTTCGGATCGCACGTTCTTGCGTGACGCGAAGGATGTTTGACCGTGCCAAGGACACGGCGTGCGCCACGTGCTGCTGCAACTGCGCGTGGCGATGCACTCGCTTATAACTCGCGCGTACAACTTACACACGTGATGCCTAAGTGCGCCGCCGCTTGTAATAGCGGCCACTTACGAGAGCCTATTGAGAGGCCTTAAGTGAACCGCCTGCACATGACAGGTCGCAGGAGGTGCGCGCGGCCGCCCACTTTAGAAAACTCGTGGAAAACTAGCCTCAAGTGGTCCCGCTCGTGTAGCTCGTTTAGCTGTCAGACAATCCCGGCCACGCGCAGCCCGACCGCCTGTGTATGCAATTTCGCCGACGAAGCGATTCGCGCGCGAACGATGATTATTAGAAAAACGGCGCGTTTTCCGGTCGAGATTATAGAATCGCACAATTCTTTTATAGCCTTTTTTTTTCCTCGTTGCTTGTGTATGTAACGACGATTTGTTAACGACGTCGAGACAAAACTTCTCAGCTTTTTGTAAGCACGAGGATAAGAGTTGTCAAAATAAATCAGACACGCTGAAGTTGAAATCCAACGACAAAAAAAAAAAAAGAAGAAGAATGCGATATCACAAGTGTGTATTTCACAAAAAGAAAACTGTTTTTTCTATTCGGCCGCGTCACAAACAACAGAACACGAATAACTTGATAATGCGATTACGCAGAATTCCATAGTTATCAAACGCTGCACTCGTGGACAATCCGTGATTTCTATTTGTCGTATATTTCCTATCGCTAGTCGACGAAAAACATTGCGTCCTATTGTTTTCACGTCCACGAAGATTGATTCGACTTGTACGAAAATAAAGACATCCGTCACCGGATTAATAAATTCCGTTCAGAATTGAAGAAAACTTGAAATATACACACTTAACGGGAATAACTCGTTAAAAGATAAAAAGATATATATGTGCTCAATTGATATGAACCTAATTAACTATTGCGTGTCTCGAAATAATTAGTTTCGGTCGGAGAAAAGCCATGCGTAGGTCTGAACGAAACGATAAAATATCTTCGTGTGTGATACGCGCTATTTAGCGGACAAAACAAACACTTATCTTATAGTTTACATGTGATAAATGATCCTCCTGGAAACTAGCGTCTGCGATAAACATTCGTGGAGGCAGACATATCGATCACCTATTATTAATAACAAGATAGCCTCTATATACGACAACAATATGAAACTTCTTCATTCGCGCGCTTCATCGAGCACAATATGTGCTCGATATGGTGATATATCATCTTCAATCACATTCGAATGATATAACAAAGAAATAACAATGACAAATATATGTTGCACACACTCTCTCTTCCCGTTTTTCAATATGCATTGATATTTAACAATGCTATCTATGTATTCGCAATTACTGCAAAAGACAATTAAAGACCCGGAAAAAAAGTCTTGCATACAAGTTCGATCTAGCTATATAAATAACTATATAAAATATAAATAATTGTTTATAAGTATATATAAGATTTTAAAATGATCTCATATATAATTATATATAAGAGTATGTGTAAAGAAAAATATAATATATATAATAAAATGTAATAAATATATATACAATAGAGTGAATGCATAAAAAGTTTTGATGAGTTTCGTGATAGAAAAATAGCTCAATTCTATTAAAAACAATATATTTTGTCAAATAATTTTTATTGCTTTCGATTATCTTTTGCTTTGTTGTTCTGTAAATAGAATAAATAGTTTTTAATAAAAATTAATTGATTCATTTTTTTCTATTACAAAATATCAAAACTTTTACACTCATTTAACGATACATGATTGTTCATATATAAAAGATTTTTTTCCGGAGATCAAATAGATCTTTCAAGAAGATTAAATGTGTCCAGAACTTGTTACGTTCCCAGTTTCTAATTTCTAAAGAAAAAGAGAGCTTGTCCTTTGGCTTCTTGTCAAGCGGGATCTCACATAGTCCTGAAAGGCATATATAAGTTTTCGTGTAACTAGACGATGAGCTCAGATTTCTTTGAGTGGAATTGAGAAGAGAAGATGACGCGGTGGGAAAATTATTTATTTTCTACCGGCACAAAAGATGGGAAAGTTGAACGGAGAGAGAACTTTAAACCTCCCCATATTTCACGTAATGCGTTCCACACGCGTCGTTCCGCTGTAGCTAATTGAGGATCAAAAGACGGAGCAGCGCCATAAAGTCGCTGTAATAGACGTGTAAAAGACAGCCGTTAAATTTTAAGCGCGACGCGTTTAACTGTCGCGAATTGTTTTTGCTCGGTTTCTGCAAACGGTGGAACAAGAAAATTCTACGAATACGCATTATCCACCTACCACGCGTATATATATATAGAACAAGATACCGGCGGGCAAAAAATCGCAATTGCTCGGACTTTTCGCGTCGATAATAGAACGGCTAGAGCGCAACTCGTCGGGGGAGGAGTTCCATTTAAACGGGGTTAAGTTCGAATGCGCGCGTATTTATCTATGGCCGCGTGTCGATCATCGAGTGGGTCATTCGCTATCGTCTGTTTTCCTGCGCCTATTTTTCGCGCGCCAACCGAGAAACTCGGTCGTGCAGCTGGGCCGAATCTAGGTCCGATTTGCGAGGCTATCACGTGCGCGAATGCGGACTGCACTTTGACATAAGCTCTTCCCCGACGATCCGTTCGCGGGGGAGCTTATCACGTTAATCGAACACTTACAGAAACAAGACCGAATGAAAACTATGTTTGAGGGCAAATGTCTGTACGTTTCTGTGCAAAATAAAATATTTTTGGAAAAATCAAAAATTCACGAAAATTTCGTTAAACGATTTTTCTTCGAGTTCCATTCTTAAGATTGATTCGAGAGTTATTTTAAAGAAAAAAATTTGATAAAAAGTGGATGAAGTAAAACCTAAATGTATAAAAAAATAACGTTAAAATTTTTACACATAATTAATATATAATTGTACGTAAAAAAAGAGAGAGAGAAATAACAGAACATTTTATATATTTCTTTTTTGGATTATTGCATGACTCTTTGAGTTTAGCACAAATTCTCGAAATATATACAGGATGTCTGACAAATTTTGAGCTAAGC